CAAACGAATCTGGTACCACTTCACCGTCCCAGGAGGGTAGAAGGCTTGGCTGGTGGAAGTCGATCCGGGACTTGAACCACGGATCGCACGGGTGGTAAGCGCACACTTGTCACTCCTGCCCAGAGGTAGAGGCGGGAGGGGGAGGGGGGAGCACGCGAGGAAAACACAATCTCCCTCTCTGCCATTTCTCAGATTTTCCCCAACTTCCTGTCACTCATTCCGGAATTTCCGAAAACTCCGAAAAATTTCCTGCTTTTACACAGAAATTTTGCTGTTGAGCGGTAGAGTGGGGGGGGGTATATAATACACATGAAAAGTCAGCAACGCCTCTCAGAGGGTCACGAGGAAAATATCACTCTCCCCCTCCAGCAACGACCGAATACGACCCCCTACCCCTTTCCAACTTCCCTGAAACATGAAAAATTAACCATCGAAATTTTTTCTCAGCCCGAATACGACCCCCTCGCAGCACCAAATAAGACCCTTTCCCCAGAGCACATTGTGGTTGGGGAGTTCCCAACCACAATGTGCTGTGATCAAAGCTACACAGTCCTACACTTCGTCCTCATACCACTCGGTTTGTGTGCACCCGCACACATCCAAAACACACTGCACATAAAAGGTTCGCCTTCTCTGCTTGATTACTAATGACCTTCCGGTTACCCTTCGGACAGCGGGAAACCTCGATTTATCACTGAAACGAGCTATCTGTAAGCAGATGTTTGCCCCCAACAGCGTGCGCCGCGCATTTTCTCGTCGATGCCAGTGAAGGTGAAATGCGTTTCGCTGCTGGGCAAATTCAGGGGAGTAGCGAGCGATTCATCTGCGTTGAAAGGAAAAAGAGTGTAAGGAGTGGGTAGTGAACGAGTTCAAAAGTGGAAGAACGAGTGAAATCAGCGTCCATCAGAAATCTTCCGATGTATGCTGCTACGTGAAGCGTAGGTTTTCTCTGTAATGAAGTTTAAGCCTTAGCTGTCCTTGTTGAACATATTTGTTCCCTCTGGAATGGCTCATCAAAAAGCGTTTGTTCAAACTCAGGATATAGTATGGTATTTCAGAATCGACGCGCGAAATCAAAGCGCTTACAAGAAGCTGAACTGGAGAAGGCGAAATTTGCTCAGGCCACTTCACTAGCCGCAGCAGCTGTGGTGAATATGCAAAACGACCCATCCGAGTCCTTTCTAGCCTTCAGGTACCCGACACACTGGTGAACTTGAAGCTGGACAGCACTGAATCAGGATGGACGGCATTCACACTGAAATGTGATCATGCACAGACGCTATTTATCCGTTGTTCATTCCTGCTCTGTTGTGACTCTCCGTTACGTTCCTTCTCTGTTGTGGCACTCCTTTTCTGGTCACAATCTTTCTTTCTCAGAGGGCACATTTTTCCATACAGATGCATTAGGTACGGTATTTGTATATATAATAATATATGTACAAATTCTCACAATTTATTTCGCTTCTGAAGCTCCTATTCCTTACTGGATGCATATGCTAGATGGAGTTCGGTGCCATTCAGATTTCCAGGGTTATGTTTAGCAGAGGTTCCAATAGCTTATCTCCAAGCATCAGACATTCCTCATTTCGGGAAATAAAATTATTTTGAATGAAGAATGAGACATAGGAAAAAGTTGCAGTATACTTCCGCAGCGATATGTTGAAATAAGCGCAGAAGAAATTTGCCTTTTTCTCTCCTGAGAGCTTGTGATAATGCCGCACGCTAAGAAATCAATGTACATGAAGTTCTCAATAGGTGAGTTTCTTTCTCAATGCCTCTCTTCCTTGACATATATGTATATATATTTATATTTTCACCCACAGGAGTCAATCCAGTCCCATTGGTGCAGGCTAATGCCGTTTGGACTCCAGCAATTTCGGCACCGAGCTCATTTTAAAAATGCCTAGGTCACCAAATCCGCTAAGAACTTGTATATAGGGGTAGTTTAACATCCTATTCACGAATATGACATTCACTCTTGCCGCTGGCGCTAATGGATGACACTAAGACTATCTGCACTCCGCTAAGGC